TTCCTTTTCCTCCCCCACTTCTCTCTCTCCCCACCAATATCATAAAGTGGTCTCTGGGTTGTGATAACGAAGGTATTAGTTTTAGTATTCTTTGACAAATATTGCACAACTCTTTTAATCATTTTAAGAAATGATGAAACATAATGATGTCAGTGACAATGCTCAGATGGTCCTGAGAAAACTGACATCAGGACTGTGGTGTCTAAATGCACCGTTGTTTGTTGAAGCGTCATTTCTTCTTGCAAAGAATAGCTGCTTGGGGCTGTGGAGCTCTGCAGTAGTGTGGCAAGCGTTCCTGTAAAGGCTTTTGTGCACTTCTGTTACTGACTTTGTGAAAGGAGAATCAGAACAATCAACATAAAAATTCAGTTGAGAACATTCTGTGTGGCTTGTCTGGCAACTTCGCCCCGGCATCTCATTTTCCTTCGTGCACTCATTCTGCCGAGAGAGAGAGAGAGAGAGAGAGAGAGAGAGAGGAAAGGTCAGGAGCGACAGTGTGATAGAAGAGGCAGTTGTGCGAAGGCGAGAACTCACAGGGAAGGAATCACTGCTCTCGTTTGCATCAATTTTCTTGCCCCCGGAATTTGGAATTCATGTAGGTGAATCCTAGACAGGACCATCGCTGCGGTCCCTAAAGTGTTTACACAAACTTTGTATAGACTTTTCTCCCCTGTAAAACAGGAAGGAGACTCAAAGATTCGATGAGAAGCTGCTGCACCGCACGGCGTGTTGGCCTTCCCCTCCTGTCCTGTTTATTATTTCAGTTTGGAAGACCTGAGAAACGGGACGTTTAGCCGTAGATGTTAGCTCCAGGGGACTGCTTACCGAGTTGCTTCAGTGGCAGAGTGCACTCTCTCTCCTTTATTCCGTCATTAGATTTCTGCCATCCCTACTGCTTTCTGGACAAAGGCACAGGATTGGTAACCGTGCTGACACTTTACAATTGTCCTTTCTCCTCTCCAGTTTGTAGGAAACTCTAGATGACTGCACCGCCTCCCTCCTCAGCCTCAGCCCTGCTGCAGCTCTGGGTTCACTACCGAGGGTCTCGGAAGTAGGGCTTTTCTACCTCTTTCCTGGGCTCACTGTGCCTGTCGTGCTGACTGGGGACCCCAAGCCAGAGGGTCCATCTTCCGGCCTGGATCTTTTCCTGGTCCTCTGGACCCAGACAAACTTTTGTATCTTATACTCAGCATCCAGTAAGTTCCCAGTTTCTACAGAGTCATCAAGTTGTTGAACTCTGAAGAGGCAATAAAATGAAACAGTCTCGAAGCTGACAAACATGAGGGTGGGAGTGGGCAGACAGCTGTCTTGCTGGAAGCAGAGCCACTTCTGGGCAGCATGAGAAATTCCAACCCACTGTCTTGGGATAGCAATGCTACCTGTCCCCTCCTGTCGCTGTTAGACTACAAAAAGCAAAAACCAGGGGGAAGTATATGGATAGCACATGCCTACTGCCATGTTCTGATAGGAGGACTCTTTTTTCTTTTAAGATTTATTTTACTTATTTGAAAGGCAGAGTTACAGAGAGAGAGAGAGAGAGAGAGAGAGAGAGAGAGAGAGAGAGAATGTCTTCTGGCAGCCCAAATGGCTGCAATGGCTGGGGCAGGTCCAGATGGAAGCCAGGTGCCAGGAGCTTCTTCAGTTGTCTCCCATGTGAGTGCAGTGCAGGGGCCCAAGCACTTGGATCATCCTCCACTGCTTTCCCAGGCACATTAGCAGGGAGCAGGATTGGAAGTAGTAGCCAGGACTCAAACTGCTGCCCATACAGGATGCCAGCACTGCAGGTAACCCACTATGCTACAAAGCTAGCCCTGTGGTGGGAAGACTTTTACAGGGACAGAAAGTGAGGCACATCAGCAATGAATAGCACAATTAGGAGAAGCTGCTACAGACATCAGATATCCCTCGTTTTTATTTTTTAATATTATTTCCATACTTATTTATTTTTTAATATTTATTTATTTGAAAGGCAGAATGATGGGGATGGCACAGAGAGAGAGAGAGAGAGAGGGAGATTCCATCTGTTGATTCACTCCCTAAATGGCCACAACAGCTAGGGCTGGACCAGGTTGAAACCAGGAGCCAGAAATTCCATCTGGGTCTCCCCGAGCAAGTGGGACATTCTCTGCTGTCTTTCCAGGTGCATTAGCAGGAAGATGGATCAAAAGCAGAGCAGCCAGGACTCAAGCCAGCCTCAGATATGAGATGCTGGCCTCACAATCGGTGGCTTAACCTGCAGTACCACAACACTAGCCCTGCTACTCCCTCTTATTTGGGTCTTGACTCAGTAACACTGAGAGTCCCAGCCCTAACCACTCAGACACCTTGTATTTACAGTTCTCATGGCTCTCAGTGCCTTATCTAAAAATACACTGAACAAAACCTCTAAAATCTTTTAAAAAAGGTTTTCTCTGATTCATTGTATTGATTTACAGTTTTGTTTTGTTGGCGGGGTCATGGGGATTGTTAGTAACCCCTAATGGGTGTCCTGATACAGAGTGTGGGGCCTGGTGCATGTGGGCACGTTCTGGGGAACATGCGTTCTCTGTGATGCTGAGGCTGTCAGCTGAGTCTCTTGCCTGGGAGTTCTTGACACTCGGGGAGCAGTGGAGCTGGTGCTTCGGCCCCTAGGAAGTCAGCTAATCTTCCCTGGGTCTACGGTGTCCTGGAAAGAACAAGAACAGCCACAAAGGCACCAGATTTATTCTACATCTTTTTCACCCTGTACCTGCGTTTCTGATAGTGTTCACATAATTATGGCAGATAACAAAATTCTTTCCTTCTTGGATGGTCAGTTCAGAAGGACTTGCTTCTTTCTTCATTTGACAGCTAATTGGCTTCAGAAGTTACTGTTAAAAGGTGAGTTAGAAATTCAGTTCCTCTTCCAGTCCCTTCTGTGAAAGATAAGAGACCAGATCTCAGAACCTTTTGGGTTCCCTGGCTTCCTGATGACATGAATCCTTTCAGCTCATATTCAGATCACGAGGGTGGCACTCAAGAAGCTCTTCCGTGGTTTTCCAAACTCATGCAAGATTAGATTTGGAAATGAACATATGAACATATGTTCTCATCCTCTTGTATGTATGGCAGATTTTTCAGCCTAAGACTGGATCTGCAAATAAATGCTGTTAATCAGAGCAAGCAGTGCCCTCTTCAGGTCAAAGAGAGCATTACTGAGGCAGCTCCTGGGATCTATTGTTCTGCACAGAAAGTTAGCGCATTTACCCTCTGTGTCTTCCTGACCTGTGGTATTTAAAAGCAGTGGTGGTGATTCCCCTACACCTGGGGCTGTGCTTGCCCAGGAAACTCTGAGGCATTGGAGAAGCCCCTGACATAGAAAGCAAAACAAACAAACAAACAAACAAAAACAAAAAAAAAAAACAAAAAACAAAGTGCATGTTTAATGTTGGATGTTATTGACTTGCAGTGAGTCTGAGCTCCCCAAGAATTGTCCACCATGGCTATGGCTTAAATCAGAGACAGGCATTTATGGGACAACAAGGCACATGAGAGATTTTCGTAGCCCTTCCTTTGTGCTATTCAGATGCACCTTTGCCTTATATTGTTTCCACTGTGCCACTGAGTCTTTAAGGTTGTGAGTGGCTTCAGGTTCTTTAAGACACAATATAGGAAGCATGCCTGGCACGAGCTTCAGTCTCCACTTCTCTAACTGGCACTGAGGCTATAACCGATACTCATCTCCTCCCACTCCACCACACTCTCAAGATTTCCCTACCCTTGGGTCGCACCTTAGTGGGCTTCCGTCGCTGGCCTGGTGGATTGACCCAGATCTTCACTGATGATGGCTGTCAGTTCTGAACCACTTTGCTCTTTCAGTATGCACGGGAAGACTGGGAAGCACTTCAGTTCCAGACATCTTTCTCTTTGCCCTCATGGTGCCTTAACAACCTGATGCTTCATGATCAGCAGGGTCAGTTGCCCCTTCCAGCAAATGATGCCCCTTTGCCTGGTGGATCACTGGCAGAAGGAGTTCAAAATAACCTTGTTGACAGCTACAGCTTCAGGTTCAGTGGAACTCTTCCTGAATTCCCAGTGGAAGAATTGCTTCTCTGGGAACTGACACGTAAGTCCAGCAGAGCCTAGGTTTAAGGAAAAGAAAACATGAATTCTGAAATTGGTTCCAGGGAGTGGTATGAGAAGACTCCGCTTCAATTTCTTAGTTTCCAAACTTAGGCCACAGTGCCATGTATCAGTCAGTGGTTAACAAATGGTATAGCTTCCTGGAAGGTAGCATTACAACTGCAGAGTGTTGCCTTTGAGCTGGCTCCTTTGTTGGGCCTTTAGAAGGACATTCTAAAGTATTCCTTCATTCTTCTGGTCATCTGATATAGGTACCATGGACATAGGTCATTTTTAAATCCCTGGTAGACCCAGTGGATCCCCTACCTAGTGAAGCTCCCAATGTCATATCTGTTGTGTTCTAAGATGGTACTTTGGGGAGTGTGTTTAACCTAGTAATTGAGACGATGGTTGGGATGCCTGCATCGCATATTGTGGTGCCTGGGTTCCATATCTGCCTCCTGTTCCTGACTCCAGCTTCCTGGTGCTAATGGTAATCACCCTCGTAGTTGGATTCCTGATACCTACATGGGACACCTGGATTATGATCCTGGCTCCTTCCTGGTTTCAGCCTGCCCCAGCCCCAGCTGTTGTGAGTATTTGGAGTACAAACCAGTGGGTGAGCACTTACTCTGTCTACTTCTGTCTGTCTCTGCCACGGAAATGAAATAAGTTAACCTCACACACACACACACACACACACACACACACACACACATTTGTAAAAAATAGTCACTTGTTCTTAGGAGATGCAATTTTGGACATGAATGGAAAATCAAAAGAATAAATAGCAATTTTTGACAAAGTAGAAATTTAAGATTCCTGGAGGTAAGAGTTCACAGGGAAAATTGTAAAGGCAGAAAAAATTCTTAGGATGCATGTTCTATAACAAGTATCGTACAAAACTCTGAGGGTCAAACACAGTCCTGCCTGTGAAGGTACTTTGTTAAAGTGGAAAGTCCTGGGCCTGCCCTTTTTTATCACTATTACATTAAGGGTTTAAGGCTGCAGACATCCATCTGTCTGTGTAGAAACTCTAGTCAGAAGAGGAGCTTTTATTTCAAGAGAAGTCCATGATTCTGTTGCCACTCTCTCCATTCCACTACTCACTGCTGCGGGGGCAAAGTCTGAGGTTTCTGTAGGACTCTCTCTGTCACCTGTCTCACTGTGAGCTCCCTGAGCGCACAGAGATACATCCCAGCGTCCCCCAGCTGCGAGTCTGAGATCTTGAGACTGAAGGACTTGGATACTTTCTGGAAGTTCACAGAGAAGCGATTCTGTGTTGCATTCTGTGGCTTGTAAGCTTCTTGGCGAATAATGAGAACCAGCTCACCGCTGGGAGGCTGTTTGTACCAAAACAAATAATAATCGCTGTCCCTAGTGTCGTACGTGCAGTCCAGGGTCGCTGTCTCTGCCTCCTGCACAGACATTTCTGGCTGTGTCTGAGTGACAGTCTGGGCCATGCTGGATCCTGTGAGCAAGAGGTGAGAAGAGAATCCGTTGGGGGATCATGTAGGAGAAACAGACCCACAAACTGGTTCCCCTTCCTGCCTTCCTGTCCTGTTCTTGGTCCAAGCCCCAGGTAGCACATAGCAACTTTCTGTCTCTTGATAGCTGGCATCTTAAATGGCAACACAGTTTCTGTACTGTTCATCTTCTCTCTTGCTTCACAGTCCCCAACGAGATACCATTACACATAAAGTCCTACACATTCCTTACCCAGACAGGTGGAGATGGCCACTGCCCACAGCAGGCTGACAAGTGTCATGCTGACAGCTCTCCCTGCAGGGTGCAAAGCTTCTGCTCAGACTGGGCTCCTCCTCTGTGTCTGGTGAGGATTCTCCTTCTAAGCAGGAAGTGCTGTGGCAGGTGGGCGGGGGGTTATGTCTCACTGCAGAAAGGTTTTCCAAAACTTTGGGTGTCTTGTTCATAAACACCTTTGGTTATAATCTCATATGAAAGTGAAAAATGGCTTCTGGGTTCTTTTTGGTCTTAGATGAAAATAAAGGGGAAATAGAACTGCTAAATTAATTTTTGATAAATTCTAATGTTGGAGGAAAGAATGGGACCTGGGTTAGTAGACAAAACTTATAGGGTCTCATTTGTAACCGTGGCAGTCCCTGTCTATGTTCCTCCTGTTCATTAAAAAAAAATGATAGGGGCTGGAATTGTGGCACAGCTGGGTTAGTCACTGCTTATGATGCTGGCATCCCATGTGGGTGCTGGTTCATGTCCTGGCCACTCCACTTCTGAGTCAGCTCCCTACTAATGTGCCTGTGAAAGCAGCAGAAGATGACCCAAGTGCTAGGCACTCAAGTGCACTCAAGTGGCAGCCCTGGATTAAGCTCCTAGCTCCCAGCTTCAGGCTGGCCCAGACCTGGTCATTGTGGCCATTTGGGGTGTGAACCAATTGATGGAAGATCTCTCTCTCTGTCTCTCCCATCTCTCTGTATAACTGCCTTTCAAATTAAAAAAATAAACTTAAAAAAAGAAATGATAAAGAAATGAAGACTAATTAAATATAATGAAATTTTGAACAATTAATTTCTTATTTAAAAAAATAGAAATGACAAAGAAAACATAATAAAGTTGTAGGTGATAAGAATATACCTGTTGGGGCTGGCATTGTGGCATAGCAAGTAAAGCTGTCTGTGATACCAGAATCCCATATGGGAGCCAGTACAAGTTCCAGCTGCTCCACTTCCAATCCAGTTCCCTGCTGATGGCCTGGGAAAGCAGTGGAAGATGGCCCAAGTACTTCGGCCCTTAATTCATGTGGGAGACGCAGAAGAAGCTCCTGGCTCTTGGCTTCAGCCGAACTCAGCCCCAGCCAGTGTGTCCATCTGGGAGTGAACCAGCAGATGGAAGATCTCTCTCTCAACTCCGACTTTCAAATAAATCTTTTTAAAAAAGAATACACCTGTTTTATTAGTGTATTTGATTTTTTACATTTTTCCAGTATCTCAAACAAAAAAAAAAAGGTATATCCTGGAGACTGGAAAGAGGAGCACTAATTAATTTGGAGATAAGCAGAAGCACAACATAATGTCTAATTATGTTTGTGCTTTCCATGAATACTTTAAAAAGACCTAGTTTGTGTTGAATTAAGATGCTATGAAGTAACTTGCAGAAGTTCTTACCAGTGCTAAATTACCTCGAACAGTTTAGTTCAGTTTATATTTAAGAGTTGCTTTCATCACTCTCCTTTCATTTTGAGAAAATATTGTGAACAAAAAACTTTCTCAAAACCCTACCATGATTCATTAGAAATTTGCATTTCTGATTGGGGCTGGGGGCTGGGTAATTCTGGAATTGGAGTCTGCACCAGCGGATGCCCTTGCTGTGCTCAAAGCCTGCCTGGGTTGTAAAGCTAATCTCCTGATTCAAATGTTAATGGACTTTGGATGTGGGGCCTTATGGAGGTGATGAGAGTCTAAGAGGTCATGAAGCTGGGGCCCTGTGATGGCATTAGTGGCTTTATGAGAAGAGACAGAGACTGAGCTATTGAGCTGTCTCCATCTCCACCATGTCAGGATGCAGCCAGAAAGCCCTCACTAGATGCCAAGCATGTGCCTGTACTAGGCCTTGGACTTCCCAGCCTCGAAACCGTGAGTCAGATCAACTTCCATCCCTTATAAATTACCTAGTCTAATTATTTTATTGTAGCAACAGAAAATGGACTTGGGCAGTCCCCAAACTGGGAGTATAAGTGAGAACCTTGCAACATTGTGGGTACAGTCTGAGAAGCATGGGTTCATGGTACAAAAGAGGTAGTGGCTGAATATGCTTACCCAGAGAGATAACAAGAAGTCATGAGAGTTGGCACTAGCCATGAATGAAACTACTAAAATCCCTCATACTCCAAAGCCCAGTTGGTTAGTAATGGAAACATACACACAGAGTTTCTTCTAGGTCATTGCTACCTTTGTCTTAGGATTTGAATTCCTGCATCTTCTTTTTGGAACTCTGAAAACTCCAATACAAGGATTTGTGTGGAAGTAGTTTAATGCTGGTGACTCTGGGAAACAGTGGTTGGAAATGAATCAGGAAAGGGAAGGAAGCCAGTGCAGTGTCTGCCATCAAGCCAGCTACACTAAGGGCAGTTGAAGTTCAATGTAATGAGGTAACTAGGAGAAGAGATAGCATTCCCAGCTACACTAAGGGCAGTTGAAGTTCAATGTAATGAGGTAACTAGGAGAAGAGATAGCATTCCCAGCTACACTAAGGGCAATTGAAGTTCAATGTAATGAACTTCAGGAGAAGAGATAACATTCCCTTTGGAGTTATCCTACATGAGGCATGAAGAAACGGAAGTAATCCATGAACTTGGTATCCGTAGCTGATAGAGAACTGCTTTGGGGCTCTGTGTGGCATTTCTGGCTTGCCTTGTGCACTGTCAACACTGCTTTTGTGGTCAGAAGATAGTCCTCGGAGTTGCTGCTGGGATTTTCATTTAGCAGCACTCAGCTGAAGAGATGACTATGGTGGAAGTATCAATATTGTCAGGATGGCCCATTCCTTGCCCTGCTCAGATCATTTGTTCTCCGTATTAAATTTACCCAGATATCTAATCTTTTTTTTTTTTTTGGACAGGCAGAGTTAGACAGTGAGAGAGAGACAAAGAGAAAGGTCTTCCTTCTGTTAGTTCACCCCACAAATGGCCGCTATAGCTGGCGCTGCGCTGATCCGAAGCCAGGAGCCAGGTGCCTTCCTCCTGGTCTCCCAAGCGGGTATAGGCACCCAAGCACTTGGACCATCCTCCACTGCCTTCCCGGGCCACAGTGGGGAGCTGGACTGGAAGAGGAGCAGCTGGGACTAGAACTCAGGCAGATCCCTAATTTTAAAACCATCACAATAAAAAGACAGTAGGAGTTAGTGAGTCAAGCTGTAATTGCCATAGCTGATTTTGAGGCTGTAATTCATATTTATTATCTCTTTCCTTCTGTCTGCTGTGTCGCTCATTCTGGACTCTCCTCACCTTTGGCTTATATTTCTACTAGTCTAGGTTTCTTTCACAGGGAGGTATCCCAGACCTTCTTCCTTGAGGGTGTTAACCTGTGGTTATTCTGCCCTTGTCTGGCCATCATTGCTACAGCTTCCTGTTTAGAGTAATCTTAGGTGTGAAAGTGCTAAGTCGTTCCCTAAGTTTTAGACATATTTCCCCAGCTTTTAGGTAGTAAAAACTCCCATGTTTTCATGACACTCAGGATCAATTGCCCTCGCTAATGCAGTAGTAACTCCTTTGTTGGAATGACCAGAATATATGTAACTCAGGTTTGGTAAGAGCAAAACAACACAAAACAAACAAAAAGAACCACGTTCTGTTTCCCTAGTAGAAGTGTCCCTCTCTCTTCTCCATTACAATGGAAATAGGATCTCTAGTCCAGCAGAACCAAGAGTTGTGAGAACAAGAAGCACTAAAGAGGGTCACTGAAGGTGGGAGTTGATTGGGAGGTGGTCCTATTTCCATACCCTGTTCCCAGTTTCGTGCATTTTGTCTACTGGGGGGCACAATACCATCCTGAAGCCTGGCCCTCCCAGCCTCAGGGTGCCTTCCCTAAGCTGGTGCATGAGCTGAGACATTAAGTGTTCATTCATGTTCTTTCAGGCCAGTGGCTGGTGGATTATGCTCTGTGTGGGAGGATCAGTAGAGCCCATGGTCACATGCCAATTGTCACTCTTCCTTGTTATAAATGAGCCTGTTGATGTAGAGAGGTGAGACCCTTGGTGATTATAATGATCAAGCCAACACTTTGAGCCCTTAGTTGATGCTGCTATGTGTGGCACCATGGAACACAAGGAAAATATATTCCCAAAATATGGATTTCCACCACCTCTGGGGACAGAATGTAATCCACTTGTCAACAAGTGTTTTGTTGGTGTCCCGGAGTGGGGGCTCCGTACAGAATGCTTGGTTTTATCTACTGCTGATGGCTGGATCTTTGCAAACAGAATTAGCCAAATCCCACTTGGTGAAACCAAATCTATGCTTGTGAGCTCATAGAGGACCTTTGGTTCTCTTATCTTGGCTGATGTATTCATGGGTCTATTGTCCACTGAAGTGGACAAGGACAAAGGCTGGCCAATATCCTCTGGTTGGATTCTTGGTCCACATGGCCATTCACTGCTCCCTCTGCAGTGAGTGCTCCCTGGTGGGTGTTGATAGGAGACACAATGGTCTAAACTGTCTGTGCCTACACTCCTTGCTCCTTCAGCGCTGCACCGTCATCCCTAAATGTGCCTCGTGGTTCTCCCACCCCACCAATTTAGAGCTCTTGCCGATCCTGGGCACTTTCGAAAGCCTCACTCTTCATAACCTGTTATCACACCCTTTGGCTTCTCTTCTTGCTATCTGGATGAACTTTAATCGCCTTTTAAGGAGGTACCAACTTTTCCATTGAATTTTGTTCCCTTTTCACCCTTCCATTGTAAACTTTGAATCATTTTCCCTCAGGTTTGGTACTTGCTCTTCCAAGCCAATTTTTTTTGGAATGTCAAAATATATTTTCTTTCACGACTGAATTCAAGGATCATAGCTTTCAAGATTTTGTGCATACTGCATCTTTGTGAAAGTCTGCAAAAGAGCTCAAAGGCAAGACTTTCATTGTGTTCTCCCTTTGTTCTTTGGTGCTTTCTCCTTCAGATATGCGTCCTCAAGTTTTTGCATTAGTTATGACAGAAGTAAATACGTCTCACTGAGAAACAAAACACATTAGATATATTTGGAAGCATTATCCATCGGCACATAGTCTTCCAATGGTGGAATTAAGCAGCCCTCCAGAGGCTCTTTCCTTTCGCTCACAAGCACCCTGGGAACTCTTCTAACAAGAGATGTAGCCGGGTCCCTCGGTGAGGTTGAGGTGCAGGGTGCAGGTGCTGGGAAGGCACTGTGTACTCGCTGCACAGAAGAAAACGGTTGAGTCTTGGAGCTGGGAATCCCTGACGTGCAGAGAAAAGTGCTGATTTTCCTTGCTGAG